CTATCTCCTGACATTTGCCCCACTTCCTCCTGGACATGTTGAACCTGTTCAAGCTGATGTGGACTTCAGTCGCCTGTTTCCACCTTCTAATTTTGCCATGCCTTCCCATACCTCTCCTGAGGATTCAGTTCAGCCTTCCATTGTTTTTTCGGACTTTATTTCTCAAGTATGTGATATTTTATCCCTCACTCCCATTTCTTATGATCCACACCCTTCCTTACAGCATGAACATTCTTCCCAGCCCTATTTAGTTTTTATCCCCCCCCCCTGACATTCAGGTCCATGCTGAACAATTTGCCTCACAGTTAAATGACAGTGTTAGCATACCTCACCCCCATTGGCTTTGGATCAGTCTGCCCTCACTTTTCATCATGCTGACTGTCATTACCTTGACCAGCAACTGTTTGGTTCTGTTTCACCTCTTTTGGGGATGGGCCCAAATCTCCTATCAGTTTAACCCATGCCTAATTTCCTCTTACACTCACGACTCCTTTGCAGTATCTTTCTGCTATTCATTTTCTATCTGAGGTACTTCACAGAAATCCTGAGGTGTTTTCTGAAGACATCCTCTCCCTCCTTACTTCCAAGTTGGCTCGTTTGTCGTCTTTGACTCTGGCTTTATATACGTGGTTTCTCTGTTGTTGGGACCTTCTGGGCTGGGATGCTGTCTTATCGAGGGCCCATTCACTTACACCTCATCTCCAGGATTTATGTGTGGTCCCATTTATCGTCTGTGATATGATCCCAGAGTCTATAGAATCTCGGGAGGCATCAGTCCAATAACAGTCTACCCTTTTCCATCTTGTAGCCTGTTTATCTCAGTTGGAGCCAAATGTGGTACCTATTATGGTTTCTTGTCCAGCTCTTACCTGTCCCTCCTCCGTCAACGATGCACATCATGTCATCAACAGTAGCGGTGACTACCTGTTGGGCTGTAATCCAGTGGGAACTTGACTTGCAGCCTTTCTCAATCAATGGCACCCTTTAATCAATGATGTTTGGGTTCTTCAAGTTTTGTCAGAAGCATTCAAGATCCCATTTCTTGCCATGACTCCCATGTCTCCTGTACCAATTTCCTTCCCTCCAACCAGGGATCCTGTTGTTTGTCAGTATCTATCAGAGGCAGTTTAGGACCTCCTCATTCAACAGGCTATCGAACCCGTTCCCCATTATTCATCGGGTTTTTACTCCCGAATATTTGATGTTCCCAAGAAAATTGGGGACTGGAGGCCTGTCATCGATTTGTCTGGCTTCAATTGCTTTGTTCACCTTCCCCATTTTACCATGGAGTCCTATGTTACCCTCCAGTAGTCATTTTCTCCAGGTTTATGGATGACTAAGATGGATGTTACCAATGCTTACCTGCATATTCCAGTCTCAGCATAGCCAGATGGTTAGGGTGCTCGACTCTCAATCTGTGGGTCGCGGGTTTGAATCCCCATCTAACCAAACATGCTCGCCCTTTCAGTCATGGGGGCATTATAATGTGATGGTCAATCTTACTATTTGTTGGTAAAAGAGTAGCCCAAGAGGTGGCAGTGGGTGGTGTCTTCCCTCTAGTCTTACACTGCTAAATTAGGGATGACTAGTGCAGATATCCCTTGTGTAGCTTTGCACGAAATTCATAACAAACCCAGTCTCACCATGGTCTCGTCCATATCTTTGGTTCATCTATCACAGGTGGTGTACCAGTTTCGTTCTCAACTATTCAGGCTTGCATCTGCACCTTATGTTTTCTGTCGGGTGGTCAGGGCTTTTGCTGTTCATGTTGATGCCCTGGTGCTGTGTTTCCATTATCATATGGATGATTGGCTTCTTCTGGCCCATTTCAAACTGAAGTTAGTCAGTCGTACTCGTCAGCTCCTTAAAGTGGCTGCTTGGGTGTGGTGGTTAATAAAATTGGGGAAGTCCTACCTCCATCCTACCCAATACCTTGTCCATTTGAGTGTCTTTTTCAACACTCATCTCAGTCTGGCCCAACCTTCTCCTCTCCAACTTCATTACATGAAAATGTTAGTTTGCCATGCCCTGTCTGCTCCCTCACTTTCTGCATACAAGGTTCTATCACTTTTGGGGATGTGGTCTTCCATGACACCACTGGTCTCCCTAGGTCATGTACATATGTGTTTCCTACAGTGGACTCTGCACAATCAATGGAACCTTGCTTATGATACCTTGGCTGTTCCTATTACACTTCCTCCTTCCCTAGTGAACGATCTGCTTTGGTGGTTGGACAAGACTCGTACATCGGCAGGTGTCCCGCTTTTTCTCCTCTTCATCCAGATTTACATCTGTTTATGGATGCATCCTTTCAGGGCTGAGGTGCACGAATTGATCACCAGGAGGCTTTAGGTTGTTGGTCTTTCAACAAGCAGTCCTTACATATCAACATCCTTGAGCTTCTAGCCATCCATTGGGCTTTGGATCACCTCCTATCTCTCACCCGACATTGTCTGCTGATGATTCATTCTGACAATTTGACAGTGGTAGCATATATCAATCACCAAGGTGGCACTCGGGCCAAGATCCCTCTGTTTTCATATGTTGGATCTCCTCTACTTTTGACTATTTCCCTTCCCTCTATCTCTCAGGTGTATCCTTGTCCTTATCTGGATAGACTACTATGTCCTGTGTGTGCCATTCTTTGCTATATTGCCTGCACATCTTCCTTCATGGTTCCCATTCCTGACTCTTTATCCCGTGGCAGTCTTCTTCATCTAGTGATCTGTCCCTTTTTACCCTCACCAATTGGGTTTGTTGTTTGATCCAGTTGGTTTATTTCTCATTGTCCCTTTCCCACAGGAATTTTTCAGAGTTACTTCTCATCAAAATCGACACCTCACCTTTTCCCTCACTTCTTGTCAGCCATTGGAGGAAATCCTGCAATTGGGCATGTAGACCACACCTAACACACTCATCTCCCATTATTGATATCATATTGCAGTTTTGGCTCTCTCGGATTTTTGCCTTCCACCTGTGGCTGTTCTTCAAGTTTCGGTGTGACCGTAAAACTAGGTGAGTCTATATTAATGCTTTCTTTTATTTTAGGGGCCCATTCTTTATACATTCATCACATGGATCCCACTCTGTGGCTAGTGATGCCTGACTAGGTATTCTACAATTCCAAATCTGCACTTTACAGCCATGTTGACTCATACTTTCCATTCCATGGCTTTGTAATTGAGATGAGGTGTTTCACAAGATTGCTTGAAGGTAAATAACCTTGCGATTTTCGCTTTAAAAACTTGCCCTTTCCAGACCTTACCCCCCATGGACTTCATGGGTGAAGCAGAAGGGGATGGTTGCCCATCCCTGCCATGCCTTGATTGAATAAATCAGGCTGGTCTGATTTTTGTGATCACCCATTGCACTGTCTCAGGTGATGATGTTCCTTTGGATTCTCCTATGCATTGTCATTCCCCTTTTTTCAAGTGGAGTATGGGAGTCCTTACCACTTACCAGTTCTAAGCTTCTGGGGTGCTCAACCATGGAGACACCCTGCTGAATGTGTTCCACACAAAATAGACAATACTATTCAGTATAGAGTAGGGCAGTGGTGTTATGCTGGTGTAGACGATGTGCTATCCTCCAATATGCATTATCCAATTACTACGGAGACATCGATTTTCAGTTCACCCCTTCAATTGGAAGCTCTCATTCTTCCCCCATGCAGATGCTGGAACCCCACAGCTGAGTTTTGGATTTAGAATGAACCAATCAACATAAGTCCTCATGCATGTTCAAAGTAGTCTATCTTCCTCCCTCGATTGTGCTCCCCCTGTGGGAAGCTGGGGTAAGGGGAATTGTTCCTGTTCTTTCCTTTGCTATCTCTTGTGTACCTTTGTCTGAGGATGTTATTGTTTATCAGATGGTTCCAATCAGTTTCACTGTTGGAGGAGTATATTTTGTTTACATAGACATCCTTTTGATACTGGATGTTGGGTTCCCAGATCAAGATATTCCTTAAATTAATTTGTTGCTCTGGGGTTGGAATGGTTTTAGATTTCTTCCAGTATCTGGGGCTTGAGGTGAAGATAGTATGATCCTCATTCTACCCCTGTGTGGATATTGGTTCCAAGCATGGGTTTTGGATGTAGTTGACTTACCGAGTATGGTCCATTGCAGCCTAGCCAATCTAAACCATGAGGTTTAATTTTCTGCTTGGTAAGATTGACTTGCATACATCTATTTAAGGATTTAGATAATTATCCTCCCTCAATTCTCTCCCACTTGGATGTGCTTCTCTCCTTTTTCCACCCTTTTTCTCCATTCTTTATGGATAAGTGAAGAGAATACCTGGTCAGAAATGGAATGGATCCCCCTTCAGATCTTCTAATCTGACTCTCTTATTTATGGAAGTATCCGTCAGACACTTTCGAGGGGGTATGTCTGTTTTTCCTTCGCACCGGTCCCTCCTCCTAATCTAGCTAATCTTGTGAGAAGAGGGAAGTACCATATCGGAAGTTATAATTTTCCTATACTGAAAATGAATTTTTGATAGGAGCTTCCCTCTTCTCACACTTCCCACGCATCCTTCTCATACTCTTCCAGTGTTTACATCTTCTGCCAAACTTCAAAGTGATAGTTTGGTAGAGGCACATAGAGGGAGTTGCATGCATCATGTGAGTATACCATGCTCCTATTGGCAGAGAGATGACGCATAATGATTTACGTGAGAGACACGTTGGAATCACTTGAACAGGGGAACAGAAGGCTTGTGGCATGCATAAAGTAAAAGTTTGCATATAGAGGGCAGCAGTGAACGAGAATAGCTAATCTTGTGAGTGTAGGGAAGTATCTGTTGGAAATACATTGTCAGTATAAGAAAATTATAACATATGCCAAAAACTTAAGCTCACTAATTTTTACTTCAATTACATGGTATTATTTGTTGGATGTAGGCACTAGTGAGCAGTTTTATTGAGTTCAAGTAATTTCTTTGTTCAGTATTAATATCTCCTTATTTTATGGTGGAAGTTTTATTTGTCCATTGCTTTCAGACATGTCCAGTTCCAGGAACTTCTGGACAAGACCCTGGAAAGCCTAGAAGAGTGAATAGTCCTGACCAAGAATCAGAACCAGGAGAGGCATGTGGTGTTACACTTCCTGTTGGACGTCCTTTGGCTGAGTGGGATAAAATGAGCTGTAGCAGTGTCAGTGAGATGTCATTGTCTTGCTTACAAGATCGCATCATGCAGATGGAAGAAACACAATACAGGTATTCTTTTTACTCATTTTAACTATTTTATAAGTATTTTAAAACTAAAGAGAATGATACTTTTTTGTAACTTTTTTGCTTGCCTACAAGATTGTATAATATAAGTGAAAGAAACACAATACAGATATCTTGGTCACTTACTGCTACTACTTCCTGGGTATCTAAAACTAACTCGGCTTATAAATTTAAAATGCAATAAAATGTTTTAAGAAAACCATTAGATCAGTTTACCATCCACTTTAGCTGCTTGACTTTCATCCAAAATATTTCTTAAATGATACAAATGTATGGGCCTGAAAAAAGAACCTTACTTATTTACAATTAACTTTGCATGTTACAATAAAATATGCTATTGTTTATAACAAAATTAATAAAAAATGATGTACTACAAATGTAATAAGAACCTGAATAAAATGCAAACAACACATCAGATTGATAACCAAAAATTTCTGGAATGGCCCTTGAAATGTGCTTATTTAAAATCTTTTTGCTATGTGGACATTCAAGTCATGTATCCAGTAATTACTTCTAGTTCTACTACGCTCCAGTAAAATCAAGTCTCAGATCTTTTTTGCCATTCTTCATATCTGAACTTTCTTGTTGAAACATTAGTTTTGAAGTTATTTTTTTGTCCTTTATAGAATTTCAGTAATGTTCTTGTACCTTAAAAAAAAACGGACCAAAGCTAAATACAGTATTCTAAAGAGGTTTACCAGTCTTATTCAAAATGACAATAACCTTCTCACTCTCTAATCAAAACTTGCATAAATAAAATCCAAACTTTTTTCTTCTTTTCACCATTTACTCTATAAAAGGTTTCAAGCTTTTATCAATAATCATTCTTAAAACCTCATTGTCCTAACACAAATGATCTTCTTATATGAAAGATAAGCTCCTTCCAAGTATTGAAGTCCTAACTGCATTGCTTTACACTTTGTAATTTTGAAACACATTTTCCATGTTCTTGCTCTCTCATTAAACTGTTGAAGATTTTGTAAGTTAAAGAAATGTTTCTAGTAGTGTTAGCTTTACCCAGCATTTCAATATCATGAGCAGATTTGGATAACTCTCTTTTATATATGCTTTACCAAAAAATCATTTTACATTTAATAGAAAGAACTACATCATAAACTTGGCATAGCTTGTCTGCCATATTATAATGAACATGTAGCACTAGATAAATAAGTAAATAACTTACTATGTATGTTAGAATAATAGGTTAGGTTGTCCATACAAATTAAAACCATGAAGGATTTAAGTGAACTTGAAATTAAAAACACCAGTTACAGTAATTGGACTTCACTGATTACTCAGAAAATATAATGTATTTAATACACCAAAATTGAAGTAGGTTTATTAGGCTACACAATTTTAATTATGCTCTTGAGAAATTTTTTTTATAATATATAAGCATTTTCATGACTAACTGAACACAACATGAAGGTTAAAGATAACTAAATTTCAAAGTCTTTTATATTTAAAAATTATCTACTTAGCAGGAAAGTTGATAAGATGAGTTTAAGATCATACTTCAGAATAACTTCATAGCTTTGGGAATTAGCTTCTTTTTTTTCATTGTTCAATATTTAAATGTGTATGTATAGGAATCAAAACTCAGAAGTAATAATGTATATAAAACGCATCAAGTACTTTGATTTCAAGACTGTACTGCTTTTGTAATGTCCACTCCCAATGGCACAGCAGTATGCCTGAGGACAATGGTAGAAACCGGGTTTCGATACCATTAGTGGGCACAGCACAGATAGCCCATTGTGTAGCTTTGTGCTTAACTTCAAAACAAATAATCTTTTCTAATTTCAAACTAATATTGTCCACTTGTCTCAATGTGCAATGGAACAGATAATAGGAACATGGAATAGTAGAACTTACAACATAGTTATGAATCAAAATTACTTTGCTTAACACAGTTTTGCCATCTTTCATTTACCCTCTTTGAGGAATACATGTTCAAAAGTTATAAGCTTCACAATAACATTCAAGTCAAGCCTTGTATCTTCACTTATGTGCATGAATGCAAAATTATTGTTAAAAATGTCTTAAAGAATACACAGAAAATCAATGTCATGCTATACAAAATGTATGTTAAATTATACAAAAATAAAATTGTATTTTGTATCCTTAAATACACGTACTTGTTAGCTGTGTTTGGTTAAATACAGGCATTTTTGGGGCTATTTTCCTACGGTATTCTGTATAATCCTGTATATTTTTGGTAGTGAAACTGAATAAATATAGGGGTCTATCACTTGCTGATTGATAGTTTATAACCAAATACATATATAAGCATGTCAATCAAATTTCATTATTTGAAAAAACAATTCCGTGATGTGTGAAATAAGTTTTGAAAATGTCATGACTGAAAGAAAACTACTATTGACTTAATTTGTGTAAAACATTTAACTTATGGCTAAGTTAACAGGTATTTTTTTTCATGATTGAATTATACGGCAATCCTCTGAAATTATCCTAACTAGCAAGTTTGCTTAAGCTCTTCAGCAGAGTGCAGCACAGTGGTGCATATTTTAACTTCTGCTTTAAACTTCTTTATGTGTGAATATTTTGTTTTGCTGTTAGAATTATTGTGTGTTAAATCATCACATTAATACAATTGATTGTACATATTTTAAAGCATAATAGCTTTCTAGTAAAGAAAGGTAAAGACAAGCAGTGAAGTAAGTGTTGCTATAAAAGACACCATGTTTTATTCAACTTTTACAGTACTGGTCTAAACAAAGATTCAAGATGTCAACAGATAGTATTAAATGGTGACTGTTCAGGAAAAAGCACAGACCATTTTGTGGTACATGAAATTTAAGTTTATTGTTATACAATGTAGTTCTACAAGTACTGTGTACAGGCACCATTGAACAGCACAATTAATCAATGACATAAACAGATCAAGGATATAGTAACTGTGTGTCCTAAAAGGAGCACTAAATGACTGAGTTTAACTAAAGACAGTGTTGCTTTAGTAACTGAATCACTGGAATCATATACCTGAACTTGCTTGAGAATGTTTTCTTTCCATGCTTGGAAGCTGATTGTATTATTGGAAGTCAGGCCTAGAAGTTCAAGGTATTTGTAGGTCACTGATGACTTGTTTTTGTTTTGTCTTTTAGCATAATTGAATGCTAAATAGTTTTTCTTTTTGAAGATTTCTTTTCTCAGTTCCATTTTTAAGTGTTTGATATTTTGCTGTTTTTGTTAAGAAATAATACTCTATTTTCTAAATCTTACTGGTCTTGCACATAGATTTTGAATAAACATTAGTCATCTGATAAACATCCAGTTATACCTATTTCCTCATTTGAATAGACATTCTCTGAACTTTTTTTTATTTACTAAAACAAAAATGTAAATCTTGATAATTTATAAAGTTTGAAGTAGTTAACAATGTTTGTCCTTCTTCTTTTTTTTTGTTTTACAATCCTGTTTATATTTCTTACATAAATAGGCTAATTTTGGTGAGATTCTTGTATTTCTTCATGGTTGCTTTGTGTGATATGTAATGTAGCACCAGTGAAGAGTTACAAGCAACCCTGCAAGAGCTAGCTGATCTTCAGGACCAAGTTTCAGAGCTTCATCTAGAAAATGAACAATTGAGAAATGAAAAAGCTGTCTTACTTGAGTCGTTGTGTTCCCAGACTGAAAAGCTAGAGGAGTGTCGAGAGCAAATTGAACACTTAAAGCACTTGCTTTTTGAGCAATATGAAGATGGTACTGAAAGAACACAGAAAGCATCAGATAAAGAACGGCACATGGTGGAAATACTTAAGGTAAACTAATTAATTTAAGTAAACCGATTTGTCATAATCAGATAATAAATAAAAAGTAAAATGACATATTCATCTGTATTATTAAAGATAAATCAATATTTGTCCCATTAGATGTTATACCTGCTTAATAAGTGTACTCGTTAAACATTTCAGTGACTCTCACCAAATACACTTTTTTATCCATATAGTAATGATAGGATATTCAAATACAAATCAGTTTAATGTGTGCATTATACTTTAGTTATTGAGGTTATATTAACATCTTATTTTTTAAATTACATTACATGTTAAAATCTTACTATAACCCTTGTGCTTTCAACTATTCATGGCATTATATTTCAGCACAATTAAAGTCTACTAGCCACCAGATATGTTATTGTTCAGCAAGTCAACAAACTCTACCAATATCCATCATATGAAAACAGTCCATACTCATAATATTAACAATATATTCTGCCCATTCATGTAAAAGAATAAACCACATCCATCTCATTAAAACAAACTATTGTGATATAGAATATTCTTCTCATCTAAAAACCTATCCTATTTAGAATAAAATCATGATAAATAAATAAATAAATAAATCATGATAATTTCATCAGAAGTGCTAGAAGTAATTGTTGCTTATTCTTCATCTTTGTATTACAAAAATTATACTTTTCCATTGGTAAAATCTTAATATTTTTATGGAAATAGTTTTTATCAAATAGCATGTTGGTGTTATTACATTTTCCAAGTGTTGTTATTGATGTTGGCATAGTAAAGCAGGTTATCTGCTCTGGCCCATGATTAAGCTTGTATAACAAACAAAAATACAAAAAAATTTCATATTAACTGGGTGAAGGAGTATTATTCTGAAGAAGAAGGTAAACTATTTTATAATATTTAAAAACTTTCCTGACATTACAAACAGAAAAAACTAACTCTCCATATTTAAAGTGAGGGATTTAGGAAATGCCATGAAATAAATGATTCTCAAATAACTTACAGTCAGTTTTGCTCTACAGATGTTTAGAAATCAAACGTGCAAACTGTTACAGAGTTTGAAACAAAGATTGAACAAAAACTTTTGCTTGAACTACAAATGAATATTTTAATTGTGATGTTCTTCAACACTGAATGAGTAGCTATAAGGAACATGTACATTGAAGGCTGCGGGCAAACTCGTCAGGACGTTCATGGATAAACTAATTGTTTTTCACCTCATTTATTCATAATTTGTAATATGAATCATCAGTTACTGTATTCCTTTTATTCACTGTATTTATTTAGCTGACAAGTACAATGAGGTAGCAAGAACTAAACACATAAATGACAATTTATTATCAAGAATAGTATAGTCTTTGCAGAAAAAACCTTTAAGTAGACTTTTTCACCTTGATGTTAATAATTAAATTTGTTTTAAACAGTACAAATGTTTAGGGAAAAAATTGCCACATTTGAAACTGGAGAAAAATAACACTTCTGTTAGTGTAGGAAAATTAGAAATTTTGATCCTTTAGGGTTATTACTTTAGCATAGTATTGGAGTAAATAGATAATATTTATTATTCCAGATTATTATTAATATAGATATATATATATATATAGACATACACACTCATGTACACTTTTGTTTGTTTAGTTGAAATGTGATTATCAAATTCATATGTGTGTAAGTGCAATAATAGTTGTAAGTCTGAATGGTTCATTTACGATAACCTAAGGTTAATATTAAGAACTAATTATATGTTGTTTCATGCTATGCTTGTTGTTTTGACAAAGCTTTTTGATATATCTGCTCATACTTGTAAATATATATACATGTTGCAGTCTACTCTAACATTTTGTACAGACATATCAGTGCATTTACATATGATTTCCTTTCCAGAACAGCCAAGCTCAGCAGGAAATACTGATTCTGAAGAAAGATGAATTGACAACAGCTCTGCAAGCAGCCAAAGAGGAAGCACAGGAGCACCAGAAAGAGCAAGAAGTTCTTCATGATCGAATGTGGCTGCTTAGTTCGACAGTCGAGAGTGTGAAGGCTGACAAACAGCTTCTAGACACACAACTTGCAGAAAGTTTAGAGCAACTTTCAGCAAAAAATATAGAAATAAATCAACTTAAATTACAGTTAGAGAGTGAGCAACAAAAGGTAAAGTTAAACAATTCTTCTACATAATTTTATTTTAGAAAATAGCATGCAGTGTTAGTCTTCTCATAAAGAAAAGTCAAATTTTATGATGTTAACAGTCCTACTTCTGTAAAGAGTTATCTGTTATATATGTTGATAAATCTTAAATTTTTATCAAACTCCAATTACTAAGTTTAGTCTCGGGTTTTTAGAGCTTTTCATCACTATCTCACTATTATGATTTAATTGTCAAATTTCAGAGTTATTATTGAACACACTTTCTTAAAACAATAGAAGTACTTATATTTCACCTAATCCACTCTACTTTAAAGGGTATTTCCAGTGATATTTAGACACTTCTGATATAGTATATTACCTCTGCAGACATAATTAGCTAGTCTCGTTCAGTGCTGCCCTCTATATGCAAAACATTTTTGCACATGCCACAAGCCTTGAAGCTCCCACTCATCTGGAAATGAATGATTCCAATGTGCCTCACATGCAAATCATCATGCAAAAACCCTCCACCAATAAGTGTGCGACATACTCTTTTGATGCATGTGACTCTTCTATTCAATTCTATTGAACTAGCACTTCTCATTTGGCAGTACTCATGTTGTAATGTTTAGTTGGTTTGTGTTTTCTTCAAGTGTTTTATTTTAATTTTTTCCATATCTTTGTAGTAAGTTCTTTCAAACAAGTTTACTCTGTATTATAAAATAGCAATATTTGTAACATGTCGAGTTATTCCATAGTGGAATTATTTTATGTTTTTATCTGGTTATGGAGATTGATCATCCAATGAGCTGACCTTTGTCAGGCCTTACCTCGAATTTGGAGACCCACACATTTTGACATACAGTCTGCTGACTTTGGAAAGACAAGACATTATAGTGTTATGGTTTTGAATAATTTTATTTTTAATATTATTGTCCATAGTTATTTGAGTTCTATAACATAAGTTGCGTTAGATTGGTCAATACTCATAATGCAGTTGAGGTTAGAAATTAGACTTAGTTGTACCTTTTCTCATATACCACTGATATCAGGGGTCTTTTTTATTTTAGGATTGCCTGTAATTCATTTTACTGATACATCAATCATTCATTTAACTGTATTGTTTTTCTTCCATACATCACGTCTCATGCATAGATTATTGTTTATACACACTTATTTCATTAAATAAATGAACATTTATTTCATTTTTGTGATTATTTATCTTTTATACTTCTTCATTATAACTTGGTTTATGTAGAACCCTTGGGTCAAGATCTACACTAACTTTTTCTCTCATTATTGTACATACTTATTGTTAAGTTAAGATTTTTATTTTAGAGCTTAGTGATATCCTTTGTCCTGCACTTTTCGATTAGGCTTATTACATGTCTGTTATTTTTGGTTTACCTGTAATTCTTCGTACGGGTTAATCACTAATTAACTTAGGCAAGTGTCTGTTAATTTTGGTTTGCCCATGGTTATATTTCCGGGTTAATTGATAGTTAGGTTAACTATTTTGTTTTCTTCAACACATAACATGTATTACATATGTTTATTTCACTATACAATTTCTTACCATTAATTTCTTAAATTTTATAATTTATACTTCTTCCCCTTAATTTCATTTGTGTGGGACCCTGGGGGCTGGGGTCCACATTATTTGCTCCCAATAGTGCACGTCTTCCTCCTATAATGGCTGAACCCATTTCAGACAGGCTAGATTAAGTCAGTTTTCCTTCACTTTATCATGGATTGCATTCCAGGCCTCTACTGCAGAATATGCTAGGCCTATCCCAGTTTTTTTTGGTTTTAGATATGTTTCATGTTATATTCCCCTTCTCCTGACATTGTTTCATGATGTTTTTTTTGTCTCTCTTTTGAGAGTGGGTACTTGCAAGCCTCGCCCTATACAGGCTTTACTTCTTTTTGCATTAGCTTACCATCAGACAGATGTTTTTCTTGAATTTTATGTGCTTTGAATCTCTGATAATCCTATCTATTTTCTCCCCTACCTAGTTTTTCAGCTTCGTATTACCCTATCTACTCTCCTACAGGTAATGTTTACCTTCCACATCCTTTCTTAGGTGCTCCACCTATATATATAGGGATTTTCATAGGATACCTTCTCCTTCTTCCCTCCATGTTAAAGCATTTGCCATCTTTAGTTGTTTCCCTCCACATGTGGCTTCTTTACTTTTGGGATCATCTTTGGTGGGACACTGGTGTTTGTTTACCAACGGGGACTTAAGGTCAGATCTTTTACTCCAACAGTCCATTTTTTGGGCTTCCTCCTGTACATTTAGCGTCACGTGGGACATCTGCCATGTTATATTCAATTTCATTTAGTTGCTCTTTTGTTTTATTCTGAGATATTGTCATCTTTATTCTCTCACATGTTTGGCAACTTCCCATCCTTTACCTGTCCTACTTACAGACTTTCTCCATTCGTCTTGTATACTCGATGCTGATTGGGGTTCTGGAACAATTGGTCCTGCCTAATCACTTCTTAGGGTCTTCTCCATTTTTATATGTAGTCTTTGATTACATTTGGGATAGCTATTTCTGCATGTCTGGGATTGCCCAGGTTATGCATTCTTAATTTCCATTTCTTCGGATGCTGTCTTAAGTTTTGTCACCACGTGACTCAGTCCCAGTTTCGTGCCTTGTCTTTTGGACTTGTTTCAGTTCAATATATATATAAACAAAACCATTCAGTTGAGAGTTGGGTGGTGGTGGTGTTCTGCTGGTGTAGATGACGAGATGTCCTTCACTATGTAGCATTAGAGAGCCATCAAAATTGCAGTTCAGCCTTTCTGTTTGGATCCCTCATCCTACCCCTACGTGGATGTCAGTTCCCAGTGCCTTAGTTTTGTATTTAGAGCTGAACCAATCAATATAAGTCCTCACACATGTATTACAGATGGCTCTATTCCCTCACTCAATTATACTTTTTTACTCCATCTGTGTTGTGGGTCATGGTGGAGGTACTTGCAGATTAATACAGTTCTTCCCCTTCCTCCAATGTCCTTATTATTCCGAGGATTTTACTGCGCTTGGGTTTGTTTCTGTCATTTTGATTTTGAGTGAGATGATTTACTTTACACAGGCATCTTTTTGATGCCAGATATCAGTTCCTGGATCAATTAATCAATTTCTCACATTTCTGTCATGTGTCCCATTCTTAGGTTGGGGGGTATAAGATTCCTTCTGGTCTCATGAACTTGAGGTGAAGACGGTATGATCCTTTTTCCTACCTCCACATGTATGTCGGTTCCCAGTGACCTGGGTTTTGAATTGTAGTTGACTTGCCAGCGGTATGATCCTCTTTCCTCCCTTACATGGATGTCATTCCCAGTGGCCAGGTTTTGGATTGTACTTGACTTACCGACGGTATATGATCCTAAGCCTACCCCCTCGTGGATGTTGGTTCTTGGTGTCCTGAGTTTTGGATGTAGTTGACTTGTCATGTACAGTCACATCCTAGCCACTCTACACCTGGAGGCACATCCTTTTCATTTGACCCACTTTTATGTATTATAAGAATTGAGATTCATGTATCATGTGGTTCAGATCCCTATCCAACCATAGTTCTCTCCCTGTTGGATATGCTCCTCCTATTATTACCCATATCTACGACACCTTTTTCCACAGTGGGTGAAGAGTGAAATGGTGCGGTTTCTCACGTATGATCTTTGACTCAGAAGATCTCTTTGGGAGTGTCCTTCAGATGCTTCTTTGTCTCTTGCACAGGTCTCTCCACCTGTTCACTGTGGGATTCCAGCTATTTATGTGAACGTAGGTAATGTACCGTATTGGAAGTTTGATTTTCCTAAACTGAAAATGTACTTCCGATAGGTACTTACATCTTCTCACATTTCCCACCCTTCCTCACCACTGAAAACCAGTGCTTTCATTTTCTGCCTAAACTCGTAGTGATAGTTTGGTAGAATTGAATAAAGGGAGTCGCATGCATCAAGAGAGTATGTCGCACTTATTGATGGAGGTTTGTCGCATGATGATTTGTATGTGAGACACATTGGAATCATTCAATTCCTGATGAGTAGGAGCTTCAAAGCTTGTGGCATGTGCAAAAAATGGATGTAGAGGGCAGCACTGAACGAGAACAGCTATTTATGTTTTCAGAGTATGAATTTTGATGAATATAAAAACATTTCAATACAAATGCTATCATATCCAAAGTGAGGAGGAGAGTAATAAGTATTTTACTTTCTTGACAGTATGAGAAAAATTTACTTTGCTGTTTTGAATTTGTGAATTGTAGGTGCAGGAGCTTCACCGTGAAAAAAATGCAAATGCCACTTCAGAACTAGATGCTTTGCTTAAGGAAGCAAGGAAAGACAAAGAAAGAGTAGAAGAAAAAGCAATGAAGCTACAGGAACAACTTGCACTGAATCAGAGAGAAACTGAACATTTCAAAGAACAGTTAAGTCATTTACAAGAAGAAACAATGGTGAGTAAAGTATACATTAAAAACTGTGTGCAACTGATGATCTAGCATCACTAGAGTTCGAAGTCTCAATTTACATAAATAAACTGTTTGGGTTCATATGAAATATTATTGCTTTTGAGAAAATTTTTCTTCCTAGGATTACAAAAAACAAAACTGTGGTTGAAAATCAGGGGTTTATTTTTTACTTTAGTGATTTTGTTTCGACTCTTTGACCATATTGCTAGTTTTAGTTTAAAGCACAATACCATAATTGCTAGAAGATATAATGTAACTTTTTTCATAGAGTATTGAATTATATCTAAAAGTATATATATGGTTAACTGAAGAAACTATTTTTATTTTTAAAGTACAGGGGAATTATAAAGGAATTGTCCCACTTCAGAATTCTGTAGTCCCTGTACTATGTGAAGCATAGTGGTTTAGCACAGGTGAGACAAGTGATCAGTTGAGAATCAATTGAAGCACTTGCAAAATTTTACCAGAGTGATTGTCATCATTGCACAATTTTGATATTACAGACATACAGAGATGACTAACAAACAAACTTATCATTCAAGTGGTTGAAACACAGAGTCAGCTCTCCAGGAATAATGTGGGCTGCATATCATGTGAAGAGAACATGTAGCTGTGCTAGATTGATCCATAAATATGAGGAAAGATGGTGCATATGTAATATATGCCATTTTCTAAAATCTGCAATTCCCATGGAAAAAATTGCTGATTTTGCTCATAAACAGTTCCTTGCATGACTGAATGTGGACAGCCATTGGCCTCAGATCATCCTCTGGACTGATGAGGCCCACTTCAATCTGAGGGAGCCATCATCACATGGAACTCCATGACCTAATAAAGTGAGTCATCATACAGCATTTCAGTAACTCTACATGATATGAAGATGACTGTGTGGTTTCATAACAGGCTTTCTTCTTGGTCTGTACTTTTTTTGAAGAAGCGACACCACATGTTTTAAAGACTTGCACACTGAATATGGCGAAATCCTAGCTGCAGCAACAATAGCTAGTCATCACTGTAGTGTGTATTCAAGATGTTAACCCTCTTCAAATCAAGTACCAGGTCAAACATTTATTACAGGTATACTTTGTTGAAGACAGGGTCACCTTTCTTTACTTTCAACGTGCATAGACTTTGCATTTCTCAGTCTTTTATAAATTAGCAGATTTCTGATTATACGGTCATTTAAAGTTGTGCTTGTACTTGGGCAGTCAATGCACCATTTCTGACCTAAAAATGCTCTAATAACAGTGGTTGTATTCATAACAGATGAAATGATGCTGGCAGTGGTAAAATTCACATTTACATATATGCACTGCTTTCAGTTTTGGGATTTTGTTTGTGAGAACATTTAACATGGCTTTAATGCAAATTATGAGTTGATGGTATGAGGGCTGTCTTGTCAATTAAACCAACAAGATATTTGTCAAGGGAACCAAAGTTTGAGATGCACTACTTATTTTTTTTAGGTACTATCAGACCACAGTAAAGTTTAAAGGAAATTGGGATATTTTCTTTTACATAATGATTATTTAATATTTCATCCCAACATTAGATTTTACTTTTATGCAGGCATACATAGGTTTAGTACATAATAATACAATGATTTTGGAGCCTCCTCATGTCATTACAGTCCATGTTGCCATATCTGGTCATGAAGATGATGGTTTCCTAGTGTCACTTTAAACAGAAAAACTGAACATAGATCAACAGATGCTGCACCCAGTGACTTTACTGTTATTTCTTCATATGGAATAGCATGGATACCCATTTCATTCTCCAGCTGCTCGAGGTGTGTGACAGTTGATCATATATCTTATATGTTCAACTTCTTTACATATGATTTTGTTGCTTTTCCAGACAAAGATTCTTCTTGATTATGTTGTGTACTGTTGCCTGAGGCAAGTGGATGGCTTTTACCACTGACCTATGTGTTTGAAAATTGAAAATTCTTACCTGTTACAAGATACAGAATTCTACATAACATGTCTGGGATACAGCTTTTTGCAGGTCTCTTCTTGGGCGGTCCTGGTATCCTAAGTTGATTCATATTTCTTTGTTTTCCAGTGCCATTAAGTACAAGGAATATAATCATTCTAGAAATTTTAAATCCTCAATCTGAACCCATTACAGATAAAAGAAACTCAAGAACAAATGTCAGTGAATTTTAAAAATTTCCGAGTGAAGTACAGAATCAATTACAAGGACTGAAAAAGAATTTAGTTTAAACCAAGAAAAATATAATATAGAAATGCGGTTTTCTCTGTTACAAATATAAGTATTTTAAATCCCCAATCTAAACACATATTTATGATTTGATCTTGAGTGTATCAATACTTTGCATTGGATTATATTATATGCCTTTCTCAAAATTGATCAGTTTTGGTGACATCACACTACCTATGAAATGTCAATCAATGAGAAACTGTAGCTCTAACATTTGATATTCCACCATAAATTTATACTGACTGTGATTGTCACGTGACTTGCTGATTTGCATATTCAAAGTCATTTTAATAACCCCCCTCTATATTAACAGTGTGGCCAGAGACTTAAAAGTTAAATGCTCATTACTTTCTATGAAAGATGTTTAATTACTAAAGTGCTTTGAAAAGTATCATGAGTATAATAATTGATGTAAAATTCTGCTATTTATAACATTATGGAGAATAACATTGGGAAGAGGAGAAAACCCAGGGGTACCAAATTGGTATTAAGTTACATAAATTTGATGTGTATTTATGTGTTGCTTACACCCATAAGAGTGATGGAATAGTTGATTAGAGGAAATTTAAAGGGAATCCTTTCCCCTTGGTTTAGGGTGTCAGTCTTTAATCTGGTGATGGGTGCCCAGATGTGGTATATGCTGATTTCCCATATGTCACTCATCATAAATATGTAATGGCAGCATTGTACAATCACTTTCAATTCATCCTGTACTTCTTTTTTGTTAAAATGAAAACACCAATAACCATAGAAGAAAATAAGCAAAGCCAAAACATCGGTATTTTTATACTGCAGAGATCTACATGAGTTTATAATGGACAAGTTGAAACTTACTCAGAGAAAATAAATAATTTATATAAAGAAATAGCACAAACAAATTAGAGGAAGAAAAACTAAATTACATAAGCTGAGTTTTTTAATTAAGAGCTTCTTTAAGTACTTTTTTGAAAGATACTTTCTTTTGTAACAAAAGTGGGTAAACAAAGAAAACTAAACTAATAAAAAAGCTTTGGCATTGAAATATAATACATAACACAGTTGTTAGTTGTTAGTTGAATGATAACACTGGCCCTAATCTTTACACTTTTAAATAATTGTTTAGTAAGGTTCTAAATATTAAGTGATTCTGCAGGTGATAAAGAACAATGCAAAGAAGGAAGTATCAGACCTAAAGTATAAAATAGAACAGCTAGAGGTTGAGAAGGTTGCAGCACAGAAGAGGTTAGAGTTCTTAGATGATGCACTTCATCAGGCGGAACTAAAGTGTCAGCACTACCTCGAAGATAAAAGAGAATTGAGAGCAAATGTCAGTGAACTGCAAAAATCCCTGAGTGAAGTACAGAATCAGTTCCAAGATTTGAAAAAGAATTTAGATGAAACCAAGAAAAAATATAATATAGAAGTAAGATTTTTCTGTTACAAACATAGTTCAATGAGGGTTTAAATTACACAAAACAAGAAGGAATTTTGTTTAGCTTAATTGGAACAGATTACAAAGTTTTTAAAGATATTGAAAAGTCAAGAATTACCTGGAAGAACTTTCTTTTTGGTGGTCTTTAATCATAACTTTTAACATCACTTTAAAGAAAACTATATCTGTTCATAGTATTAAAATAAAATTAGTTAGTAGAATTAAAGATGTTTTATTTTACTTCATTTTTTTTTACCAACATCCAGTATAAACAGTTATGATAACGTAATTCCGATATGGTACATTACCTCTGATCATAGATGTAGCTATTCTTGTTCAGTGCTGCCCTCTATATGCAAAAGTTTTTTTGCATGCCATAAGCCTTGAGCTCCCACGTACCCCCATGATCAACGTGGTTTAACTGCATCTCACACTTAAATCATCATGCGACAACCCTTCACCAATAGGAATGCAGCACATCCTCCTGATGGATGTGACTCCCTCTGTTAGATTCTACCAAACTATCATTTCTCGTTTGGCAGTGCTCGTATCAAGAAGTTTTTCATTGTGCTTTTCAATCATGTCTTTTTTTAAACTTGTGCATTTTTTAGATGTTTTTCAATGTTGATTGAACTATTTTGTAATTTATTCCAAAGTGGAATTGTTATTCTCATTTACCAAACATTTGTGAATATAAGGATAACTTACTTTTTTTTCTAGTTTTTCATTTATTTATTCTAACACAGGTTGCATTTGGTTATTCATCTTTAAAGATGAATACCAAAGTTCAAGTTACCACTTCAGAGGTAATATTAGCTTCCAGCACACTTACACAGGCTGCAGGTATGGGGAACTAGACTGTAGAATTATCAGCTCTCATTCTATGAGAGATTGATCATTATGAGTCAACGTTTTTCTCCTGATGTTGCCAATTTTCCTCCTGAACATGCTAAACATCTTTGGTATGACAAGGAATTTGACAGCCTTTTTCCTCCACCTGATTTTGCTGTGTCTTCCTGTCCCCTACTGCAGAATCAGCTAGGCCTAATACAGCTTTTTTGGTCATTATTTCTTAGGTGCGTTCTATTTTATCAATTTCCCCCCATTTCTTATAATCCTCATCCTTCCTTGTTACATTATACCCCCTCCTCTCAGTATTTGGTATTTCCCCCTCCCCAGATATTATGTTTCATGCAGAGTGTTTTGTATCTCAGATGCGTGAGGGTGCTAGCATTCCTCACCCTCCATGGTCTTTGGATCAGTTTGCTTTAGCCTACCATGAAGCTGAATTTTCATTTATTGATTTTCAACAGTTGGAATTGCTTTTGCCTGTGTGAGGGTTGGACCCTGATCCTCCTGTTCATTTATCCCACACCCAGTTTTTCCATCTTCATCTTCCCCATCGACTCCTACAGTACTTTTCCACCCTCCACCCATTTCTTCAAAGGTCTGTTTTTGGAGATATTCCTGAGACTTTAGAATCCTGTGTGGAGTCTGCGAGACAGCAATCGACACTTTCATCTTTGTTTGATCGATGTCTCATTCTTAGCCTAGACAGCCCCCTCTTACTGTTTCCTGTCCCACTCCTTCCCAGCCTTTACCAGTTCCTACCTCTAGGGGTGTCTTTACTCATATTATTTGATGAAGATGGACCTGTTGCCATCAGTACCATATGAGGTCTCTTCATTGGACTCTGCACAACAAATGGAACCTTGCACAGGATCCCTTGGATGCTCCTATTTCCCTTCATCCTTCCTTTGTTGATGATCTGCATTGATGGTTGGACAAGGCCCATACCTCAGCAGGTGGTCTGCTTCCTCCCCCTTATCTGTATTTGTACATCTTCATGGACACTTCCCTCCATGGTTGGGGGAGTGGATCAATCAGAAGGAAGCTTCAGGTCAGTGGTCTCCAGCTGAAAAGGCTTACCATATCAACATCCTAGAGCTTCTGGCCATACACCACGTTTTGTTTCATTTTCTTCATCTTTCCAGGAATTGTCTTGTTGTGATCCATTCTGTCAATTCTATGGTGGTAGCTTATATCAATCACCAAGGTGGCACCTGTTCTTGTTCTCTTTGTGGTCAAACTTTGGGTCTTTTTTTTGGGCCCACACACTCAGTATTTGTCTCCTTGCGTGTCATGTGCTGGGTGCATTCAACCTTGCCGTGGATTGTCTTTTCCAACCAGACAAATATATTTGACAGAGTGGTCTCTGGACCCACACCTTTTCCAGTGGCTATGCTATCAGTGGAGAACTTCTCACCTAAATGCATTTGCCACACCCCTCAATACCAAGTTACCTCTGTTTTGGTCTCTGGTTCTTCATCCACTTGCACTGGCTGTTGATGCATTCAGGACTGGACCAACAAATATCTTTATGTGTATCCTCCCATCCACCTCCTTCCCAGGGTGATTTTGATCATCCACACCAATCCGTGTCAAGTCCTTCTGATTGCTCCTTACTGGCCAGCACAACCATGGTTTCCATGGCTGCTCCAGCTCCAGTCTTCCCCATAATTACCTCTTCTTCTTACTCCATACCTTCTATGTAAACCTCAGTCATCATATCTTGTTTTTATCCAGTCCTTGGCAAGGAAATCTGGATTGTCATGGCAAGTCATTTCCTTTTTAGCACCTTCCATTTGCCCTAGATATATGGATGTTTATCAATGAAAATGGATCATTTTCTGCCGTTGGGCTTTGGGTTGGGGTTTTTACTTGTTCAACCCACTGTTTCTTTTCTTATGGATTTCCTCCCTTGACTGTTTGATCACAGGTTATCGGGTTGCCTTATCCCACACTTTTTGTTTTCCTTGATACCATAAAGTGCTTATCTCTCCTACCCTCTCACTATTGTTTCTTTCCTTTCAGAATAAATTACCTCCTTGGCATGTGGTCCTTCCTGATTGTGATGTCCATGTGATTCTTCACTGCCTTACTTTACCTCTGCTTGAACTTTTGTCCTTGTGCTCGATTTTTCACTTATCCCTTTAGACTTATTTCCTTCTCCTCTTGGCCTTTGGACATTGTTGGTCAGATTCATTTGCCATTTATATTTCATCTACCCTGTATTATTCCACATACTTTCTCCTTTATCTAGATCGTTCTTTCCTTCCAAAAACTTCGGTGGCTTGTGAGGGTAATTCATCATTCTCGATGATTTTCTTTCCTTCCATTTCTCATCTGTATTCCCGGTCTATTCCAGATAGACTAGTATGTCCCATATGTGCTCTTCATTGTTTTATTGCCTACACAGCTTACTTCCGTGGTTCCTATTCCCGCCTCTTCATTCTATGGCAACTATCCTCTGTTCGTTACTTTCTTCTTCCCCCTTACCAATTGGGTTCAGTTTTTAATTTGATTGGCTTATTCTTCCTTGTCCTTTTCTTCCCTTAATTTGTTCCATGTGTCTTTTCACCAGATTAGTCACCTTACCTTTCTTCTGGCATTTCATGTCCATTGGAGGAAGTTCTTCAATCAAGCATGTGGACCACACCACATACCTTCATTCCCACTATCTGCATAAGATAGCTGTTTCTTCCTCATCAGGTTATTGTCTTCTGTCTGTTACCATTCTTCAGACTTTGGTGTGACTAAGACTGAGTAAGTTACTTTTTTGTGCCCTGTTCACAGATAGGTGGGTAGGATATCTTCCTCCAGACTGCTGAACTTTAGGTGAAGATGGTATGATCCTCTTTCCTGCCCCCACCAGATGACTGAGTTTTGGATTCCAGTTGACTTGCCACTGGTATGATTCTCTTTCCTACCCCCATATGCAGTTTCCCAAATAGGATCCTCTACTGTGAGGATCTCCCCTTTTCAAATGTTCTACTGATGCTTTCGAAGGATGCTTCTTTCTTTCCTTTGCACAAGTCCCCCCACCTATTCAATGTGGGATTCTAGCTATATCTGTGAGAAGAGGTAATGTACTGTATCGAAAGTTATAATTTTTTTTTATACTGAAATGCATATCCGATAAGTACTGACCACTTTCTACCCACTGAAAATCAGTGCTTCCATTTTCTACCAAAACTTGAAGTGATAGTTTGGTAGAATTGAATATAGAGAGTCACATGCATCAGGAGGGTGTGTCGCACTTCTATTGGTGGAGGGTTGTTGCATGATGATTTACATGCAAGACACAGTTGAACCACATTTATCGTGGGGTACATGGGAGCTCAAGGCTTGTGGCATGAAAAAAAAGTTTTCATATAGAGGGCAGCACTGAACAAGAATAGCTATATCTATGAAAGGAGGTAAGTACCTATTGGAAATACATTTTCAGTATAGGAAAATTATAACTTTAAATTAAGTCTGGGTGGAATACAGTATTACCATAAGACTTTAGTTTTATTTACTTGATCATGGTGTACCACCACCATAAAATTTTATTTTTATTTATGCTTTTATTGTATATTGTTTTAAAACTGCAGTTTCCTACACTTGGTCAAGGTATAATACTAGAGAACACTAAATTTTATTTACTGGTCATTTGGAGTGCTCTGAAAAGAATACAGATGGAACTAGTAGTTTGGTAATAATGTTTTGTTTTATCTTAAACATACCACATTTTAGAAGCAAGGAGAAAAATACTTATTATTATTCCCATGATTTATTGTAAAATATTTTAGGATAAATATCGTATGAAACTTAGTATATGGTGGAAAAGTTAGCTAATACAGAGAAGATTAATGTATTTATAGCTTGTTTGTTTGACAATTATCACTAAATAGACAGAGGAGTGGAAGCAGTTCCAAGATGATCTTTTGACCACTGTAAGAGTTGCAAATGACTTTAAAACAGAAGCTCAACAAGAAGTGGAAAGGCTAGAGTCAGATAATAAGCTGTTGAAGGAGAAGACAGAATTTCTAGAAGCAGAACTGCAGAGATTAAAAGTGAGCTTGAATTTTGTCCCTGAAAGAAAGTGATGCTTCAATATTCAGATAGTTAATTTTGAACAAGTTTTATCTAATATTATAAATAAGGATTTATTTATATGATGTACTCTCTACATTTCAGTACTTGTAGCTCAGTTTAAATCCTTTGTCAAGAAGCAACTTCACTTGCAGTAAATGTGTTATACATACTGTATTTTATGGCTTTTTATTTACTGTTGACAAGTTATTCAAAAATTAGACAACATAATCTCATAGTGTCAATAACTATAACTTTAATTAAATTGCTTTTTTTTTGTTTAAAACTTTAGTGTTTGGTTTCAGTGCTGTCAAAATTAAAAAAACATCACATTGAAACTATTTAGATACCTAAAACAGAAAGAATTTTTTATCTATTCTGCACCAGAATGTGAGTTTCAGTAAAACCCTTAACTGCTTTTATTTAATCTTTTAGGTTAAACAAGATATACATTCATCACCACAACAGCAGAAAACAAACTCAATAAGGAACATAGCTATCAATAACAGCCTTTCTGGTTCTGATGTAACTGTTGTTAGCTCTGTGGAACGAGACTTGGCAGCTGCACGCCGACAACTAGGTGCTGTTAAATGGCAAGATTACCGCAGTAGCCCCCAGCTTTCTGTTCGCACTCTCATTGAGTCTATTGAGAATGCTGCCAAACAAGCTAAAGGTGAGTATATTTTGAATTTCATGGTTTAAGATAGCCAAGGTCATCTTTGCCACTGAAGGAGAAATTGCATTGAGATGGTGTTAACATTATGTAAATAATGTGGTAGAGCATTTTAAAAATTGCTTTATTCACTCAGTAATGTTATATTACAAAACATAATAATTTCCCAGGTATTTCAGAAATAATACTTACTTCTTTGTGCAACTAACAGCTATTACCCGATGTGCAACTGCAGTGGAATTTCTTGCACGTGCCGCAAGTCTTGAACAAATTCCCACCCTTACACAACCCTTACTGTTGACAAGTTATTCAAAGATTAAACAACATATTCTCATAGTGTCAATAAGGATAACTTTAATTAAAATGCTGATGGGCCTATGACATAATCATCATAATGCTGTATCCCTCCAATAGTAGGAGGGTGGTGACACAACCTCCATGTTGGTAATCTATCTTTTTTGAGCAACTGTCTATGGTCATAGGCTTATTTTTCCTTTGACGCTGCCTGTGTTCAGACGTGTTATTTTCCTGTTCTTTTTTAGTTTCTAGTTGCTTTGTTTGACTGCCTTTCTTGATTTAGTGCTACATTACTTTTGTCCTCACTGTACTTTTGTTCTGTCCATCTGATTGCAACATCATTTTCTCTGACTGCCACATTTCTTCTTTGTGCTACTTATAATGATTAATGTATAAAAAAGTTTCAGTGCCCAGACATTCCTTTTCAGGCATTTTCTCTGAGTTAGTGGTGACCAGAGGCACATTATCTGTTCATAGATCTTCAGTTCAGTACTTATTTTTTAGTTTGATTAGTAGAGTAATACCTGCCATACGACAGGTCTCAGATTTCAATCCATAGCAAGGTTATGTACACATCATCTAAATGTTACACTGCCAGAATCCTATAGAGCTATGATGGACAACAGTTTAACAAGTTAACTGCTGATGTTTCTCCAACATTATATTCTCACTATCATCCATCACTGCACTTCTCACCTTCCTTCCCATTTATGGTGTAGTTTATTTGCCTCATCAAGAATGAACCAATGATCATATGTTAGTGCTATTGTGCTTGGAGGTTATGTTGCCATTCTATTGGTGGAGAGCTACAGCAATATGACGATTACATCATAGACTGGCACATCACACATAAACACATGTAGGATGGTAGTTTGTTAAAGGAGTGTTGCATGTGCAGCAACTTCCACAGTAGTTGTGCATGAGGTAATAGCTGTTAGTGGTGCAGAGAGGTAAGTAACATGAGGTAATAGCTGTTAGTGGTGCAGAGAGGTCAGTAACATGAGGTAATAGTTGTTAGTGGTGCAGAGAGGTCAGTAACATGAGGTAATAGCTGTTAGTGGTGCAGAGAGGTAAGTAAGCAGTAAGAGAAATTTTTGAAACTCAGAAAAGTTCTCTTATGTTTAGGGAAATTACTAAAATAATTAGAAAACGAAGACTAACAAACTGAAGAACCTAACATAAACTAGATGTATCCACATAGATAAAAGGCTAAAGTAATGTTTTATCTGAGTTTAGACTAGGTGTACACATGTAGATAAAAGGCTAAAGTAATGTTTTATCTAGTTTAGACTAGGTGTACACATGTAGATAAAAGGCTAAAGTAATGTTTTATCTGAGTTTAGACTAGGTGTACACATGTAGATAAAAGGCTAAAGTAATGTTTTATCCTTAGTTTAGACTAGGTGGACACATGTAGATAAAAAGGTAAAGTAATGTTTTAGCCACTTTTAAACTAGGTGCACACATGTAGATAGAAGGCTCAAGTAATATGTCATCCAATTTTAAACTAGTAATGTTTTTATCCAAGTTAAACAAACTCATACATCAAGTTATTTACATATATCAAAACATGATTAGTTGCTCCTTATATGCATTTCTGTAATTCTGTATTTTAATCATTGTTTTAAGATTAGGTGTGGTAAATCAAAATAATGTAGTTTAAAATAACAAGTTTTAAGCATTTAAAGAAGCATAAGATTCTCACACTAGATGTGGAAGTGTTATCAAATTCTAATAATCGGTTACAAGAAACCTCAGCATTAACTTTCTTCTGCAAATCATCTTAGATACAAGCTTATGAAACTGGTACTGCTCTTGTGTTTTAAATTCTTCAGGTGTAATATGATGTTATGTCTTTTTTACACGAGACTTGAAGTCACGATATACATACAATGTACACTTTGTAATTGCAATAAATGCTGAAAAGATTTTTTGAAATACATTTATTAAAATACTCTGATAGAATATTTCTTTAAAATGCAAAAAATAACAAATGCTACAAAGAAATAAGAGCAGTGTAGATAAAGAATTTGCACATATGAATTTTTGCTAATCACAAGTTTTTCTAGCATACTAAATAAACTTGTACATTTTATAAGTATCTTGAACTTACTGAAAGTTAGCTAACAAAGTATCATAACTCTTCTGATTAGGACCAGGGAGTAGTCGAAGTTCATCCACTAGTAGTCTTAACAGTATTGCTTCTGATAGCAGACTACCACCTAATTCTCTTGTGTTTGGAAACACCAGTGAAATTTTTGTTAAAGTAAGTTTGTGATATGTTTTTAATATACTAACATGTACTTTTTTGATTATATGATTGGCTTCAGAGTTAGAATTTCTGTGTTACAATTTCATTTGTAGAAAATAAAGAAGATTATTTGATAACACTTTTAAAAGTGCTTTAACATAATCTTTTGTAAAAGTATTCTTAAATTCATTTGATTTCAGTAACTTTATAATTTTTATATAGTCATAAAATAGTTTTGTTGAAGCAGTTTCTATATACACATATGTCTTGTGAGAGTGTGATTTTCTATTACTACAATGAAGTTATTTGTTAGAATTAATGTTATTAGCTATATCTTGTGTTGTTACATCATTAAACATGTTTAAAGTGCAAATATGATTATTTTTAATAGTGAAGTAACAATGATCTAGGGTAATATAAAAATTATTTTGCTCTTCTCATCCTCAGCCTCCACTTAGATCAGTGGCATCTGATGCAACACTTCTTTGTGACAATAAAACTAATGGTCATACTAGGAGATTGCAGAGGAGTTCCTTTTCAGATGGTACTCCAGTTATTAAACCTTCTGGTTCCCCTATAATATTCACAGATTCTGCAACAAATGTCTCAGCCAAAGGATTGGGAGATGTAGAAGCTTCAAAACCTGCTGCAAACCATCCAGTCTCTATCCTGGCTAGCAAACTAGAGCCAATACGAAGGAACAGCAGTTACAGGTATATTCAACTCAAGCAGCAGTTATAGTTGCTGTACATGATGGCCCAAAAAGTCAGTTCCCTTATACCTATAAATAACTATATTTAATTCCTTCTTGCTCAACTCACTTCCAGTGAAAACACAATAGTAGCACTAATTTATTTTAATACATTTTCAGAGAAAGGACCATATAAAGATTTCTGAGTTTCATAATTGGATTGACTCTCTCCTATATGCAAAATGGATTAAGCTTGCCAAACTGTTAGAACAAAAACTCTTTAAATTAGTGTTATAAAAGGTTCTTGTTAATTCTTTTAGTGATTTGGTGGAGAAAAAAGACCCACTATTAGCTGTAGTAAAAGGTGGAGGTTCAAAAAGAAATGCTCTTCTTGGTCAACTCATTTCAAGAATCGTTTTGGAAAAGTCTTTTAGATTCTTTGATTTAAAACATCTTTCTCAACCTTGTCCTACATTTATAAATCATTTGTCTTTGATTGTAGCTGAACCATGAGAGAAATGTTTGAGGAAACTATTGATTTTTTTTGTTGTTGTTATTATTTGAACACAAAACCAGTTCTTTTGTGAGTTTATGGGTCATTCTTCAAAATTCAATGATTGTAATTTCTTAATTTGAAATGTGACTAAGTTATTTGAATAATTTATTAATTACGGCTGGTATCTAATAAAGAATCTACTGTGAATTTCTGCCTTATGAGTATACTCAGCTTAGGGATAGCTATTATGTATAGATAATCTTAAAATTAACATAATTGTAGATGGTCTTAGCCCCAATATTTTTTTTCTGTTTAATGAACACATACAGTAAAAGATATATTAATTTTGAACAGTAATATTTTTCCATATTCCATGAACACCAGAAAACTTTTAATGTTACAAAACATTTAACAAAGAATTAATTACAATACCACATGTTCTTATTTCTGTGTTAATTGGACAATCCCTTTTAGAATAGTTTTATATCCATTTAGTTCCATGTTTTGTTTTTATGTTTTATTGACAAACCTATTCAGAATTATCTTGTAGCTACTCATGATCTAATATCTTATTGCTGTTAATTAATAATGCATGCATAACTAACTAGTGAATGTCATTATTAATTTAATTTGGTAATTAAGAAATTCTTTATAGGCTGCTTTTGCAGTGGTAGTTACATTCATTGATTTCACAAATAATTTAATTAAATCAGTGTGCTACCTTTTGTAGATTCACTTTATTAATATTTGTTTGTTTTGTAAATTCTCATTATATTCTATGTTCTGCTTTCAATTCTCACATAATTATTTAAGGTGGTGTTTGTGCTAGCTTCAGGTTTCATAGATTAATTTTCAATTTGTGCTTGCTTTTCCCCCTAAATTCTGCTTTTATTCTCTATGCTGTCTTTTGTTTTTATAGATTCTTTAACTTAGCATATGTTCTGACTATGACTATGTTCATGAAAAAAGATCATTGTATACGGAAAAGATTTTGTTATACAAACGTAATATTTTTTTCCATGATTTTTTGGTACTGACACTTCATAGTTTCTTTAAAATATTTTTGTTATATTCTTACCTTTTTTTTACTTTTGTTGGAACTTTTTTCAGGTTTTTTAAACAATATTTTGTCCATGTCTTTTTCTCCAAATGTTGCAAAAGTAAATTTTTTGCATTAACAACAGTATGAATCAGATATCAAATATTACATATTGTGATGCATTATTACTAACAATGATATTTTAATGTGATTAAGGAGTGTGTTGAGGGCTAGCTATTTATGGTTAAGTGTACAGCTTGGAAGGTATAAACAAAATGAGAGCCAAACAGATGTCAGTAGACAATTCTCAGTTAATTTTCCAGAGAAAAGTCTTCCAAGAACAGTTCTATTTACAATAGGTATATACATAGTAACTGGCACAAATATTAGATTTTTTATGCTTTAAATTTGTTTTTTGTTTGACATTTTAATATATTTGTATTTCTTTCTGAAAACACAATGATAGCACTAACTTATTTTATACATTTTCAGAGAAAGGACCATATAAACATTTCTGAGTTTCATAAGTGGGTTGACTCTCACCTATATGCAAAATGGATTAAGCTTACCAAACTTTTAGAACAAAAACACTTTAAATTAGTGTTATAAAAGGTTCTTGTTAATTCTTTTAGTGATTTGGTGGAGAAAAAAGACCCACTATCAGCTCTAGTAAAGGGTGGAGGTTCGAAAAGAAATGCTCTTCTTAAGTGGTGCCAGAACAAGACCATGGGATACAAAGTAAATGTTTTGTTTCTGTATAACTTTTATATAATACTTCTTTACTCTATTAAAAAGCAAAATAGTTTAATTTAATTTCAATTTATTTATTTGCATACCCAAACTTAGCTATTTAAATAAAAGCTTAGAAATATTGTTTCTTGTTCTGCCCTCATGATGTTTTTGTTGCTTGAGTGTACCAGTCTTTCAAGACAGTTACATCATTGTGCATCTGAAATTTTGTGAACATTATGTAGAATGTAAAGCTATCCTGCAACCTATGCAGTATGTGTGAAATAAGAAAGCTACTTAAGTATCAGATTTTGTAATTAAGAGATATGACTTAATAAGAAAAACAATGCATGTCAGTGAAACTATTGTGAGTTGCACATCAAAATAACATATATAAGTAGTATTACAATCTTATTTTAGAATTTTTCTGCAAACTGAATGGTTTTAAATTCTTTCTGAGCAGATACTTAAACAAACTAAGCTTCTGCATATCAAATACTGGAAGTATCAGTTTTAATTTTATCAGTTACTTATGGTTGAACTTGGCAGGACTTTTGAGTTTTGCCAATTGGCCAGTAACTCAGAATTATGGGTTTGTAATTTAATCAACCACATATTTTAAAGATTGTTACACATTTTTCTGAGCTTTCTGTTCACTTTAGAAAACACTAATTTTTATTTCTTGGAGGTAATAACTTGTGAATCACAAAAAAATAACATAAAAAACACTAGCATTATAATTAACCCAACTGCTTAGGCTGCTTATTTATTTTATATAGAAAATAAATTATTTCTTCAAATTTTTGTGAGCAGTTCTTTACACTGAGAGCTGTAACAGGCAAAATCACTCAGTATGATACAGTATTTGCTGGTAGTTATTAGTTAACGATATAAAAACTACTTGATAGTTTATGGATTAATATAAAAAAGGTATTGAAAAAATGTCTTTTTGGTGCATTGACTGAGAACCTCCAATCAGTAAGTCCGGTTTTTTGCTGTGATTTATTTTTGTATATAATACATTCAAACTCATCAAATATGTTTGAAAGTAATGACCAAAGAGTATAAGATTTACATTATTACTATCAAATCAGTCACAATAATCTGGCTAGTTTTGTTTATACATTGAGTATTTTTTCTACTATATTCATCTACATTTGAGGAAATTACAACTGGTATTTAGTACTAAACCAAATAAGAAAGGGTTAAACAGTTTATTTCATCTTTTATATAATTTTAGGAAATCTAAAATATAAGTTTTCGTTTCTCAACCTCACTGTTTAATATGGGAAATTTTTAGTTTTTCTGAAACAATTCGTTAGAAAAGGAGAAATGAGATATTTTAGGCTCACTACCATATTTTAATTTGAACCATTTAGTACTTCTCTTGTAACATATAATAATAGTCTGATATTGGTGTTTCTCACTAACTCACAATTTTCATTACCCTACTTCTTATTCTGTGCTTTATTTTGACATCGCTGTTTCATGTGAACTGTTTAAGAAAGTAGTAATGGGGAGCAATGTTCTAATTCAGGCCAGACTTTAAACTGTCTGGCTGTAGGTGGGTTAAATGTACTTTCTTAGTAACTTTATCTTTTTTTTTATCAATGTCTATAACTAAGATTATCTTTCAGATGATTCACTCTTCTGACCTTGCTTTCATGTCATTATCAGTTGCATACATATTTAAATCACAATTTGAACAATAAAATGTTAAGCTGTTTCATAGAAATCTGTACAAATGTATATCCGGATTTCACAGGTGTATTTTACAACAAACCAGTTGCGTACAGGATCAATATCATGGTTTTAATTACATTTTTTGTTTACAGGGAATTGATATCACCAATTTTAGTAGTAGCTGGAATGATGGTCTTGCTTTTTGTGCCCTTCTTCATACATATTTACCTGATGTTATACCATACAATGAACTAGACAACAAAGACAAGGTAGGTGTACTGAATATCTAGTAGAATAATAAACTAGACAACAGATAAGGTATGTTAGCTGAATAGAATAATGTTTGTGTTTTCCCTCACACCTACAGTTAATATGGGTGAAAGCCAAACACAAAAAGTTTGTCTATTCTTCTCACACTTATCTGCCTGTTAATATTGAGTTAGATGATAAAGGTGAGATTGATAAGCTAAATACAAGAATGTTTGAGCTCTCCTTCAGTCCTCTATGCCTGACATGATTCTCTAAAATGGACTATATACAAGAAAGACAAGATAAGTTAAAGCTAAATACAAGAAGTTTGTGCTCTTCCCCAAACCTGAACACCTAATAATTTTGCCTATTTTGAGCTAGATGACAAAGATAAAGAGAGGCAAGGTGAGTGCAAGAACGTGTTTTAACTAGCACCGATTTGCCCTATATTAATCTTTCAAATAGACTGCAGACAACGAAGATGGGATAGAAGAGATGAATACAATAACTGCATGTTATTAAATGATGATCTCATTTTTATACACAAACCACAAATTGGTATGTCATTACAATCATTTAGTGTATAAATTCTTTATCAACTGTCTATCTTGGGTGTTTGTAGTGGACATTTTCAAGTTGTATAATGTCTTCTCTTCTATGTTTACTAGCTGAGGTTATTCATTGAGAGAGCAAAAATTGTATAAAGGACAATGTTAGATAATGTTCCCCGTCTTTCTTTTATTGTTCAATCCCTAACGACCTCATTAGATTTTAACTGCATGCCCTGCTTTGTGGAAAGTAATAACTTATATAACAGCTCTAAAATAAATCTGTACTACCGGCAGTATAAACAGGATCCATTAGTTGTTTATGTGTGTCTGTGTGTGTTAGCATCCATCAACCACACTTCCATTTTTTTACATACACTTTTAGCTTCCATCATTGACATCTGATGAACTTGATTACCATATTTCTTTTGTATGGTAATTTGAAACTGTCTGAGTGTATGAATAGGCTACTTTGTTTTAAGATTTTTGCAAGAAGGGGGATAAAAAATACCCTGAGATAGACAACATTTCCACTTTTTTTTATAGACTTTTGACTTTAAATTTAAAGACATAAGTACTTACTCAGTTAAATGAGTCTACTTATTTTGTGCGAGTTCTTATTATTAACAACATTGTTTTTTTGTTGTTGTTATTTTTGCTTGTTCTTGTGTTGGAGATTAAGATGTTTAGTTACAAAGTCCTGGCCATGTACTACCATGTGTATTTGATATGTTACATGGATAATATCCAAGACATGTTCACAGTTGCATAGGATTGGCAGGATTTCTAATACCTAATCACAGATGAGTGAGATGAGACTGATTTCTAGGTACTAAACTTAAGTATGAGGTTGACTGATGTTTACAATGTGGTCAAAATTGAGTTGGTTTAGACTGTTTCCATGTTTAACTCACAGTTAAGAGTGATTGGCTTGATTTCTAAGGGGTTAAAAATTGCTTCTCAGAACTGGATATTAGTTGAGCATGAGTTGAACTGATTTTTCTAGACATGGTCCTACGGAGTTTTGCTAGACTGTCTTCCAGGGTCTAGTTCTATCTAAGAATGATTTGAACTGAATTCTACATGTTGGTCCTAAATGAGTGTGAATTGATATATTTTGATACATAAAGCTTCTATATTTTTTAATGTTATGTAGCATCAGGTTTCTGAGAATCCTGCTTCATACTGTTTGCAATCAATTAGCTACGTTTGACCAAAACATTTCTCATAACAATGACAATGATTATAACGAGTTAGGAAACTTGAACCAGAAGAAGAAAAACCTAATTTGGTAGGTTACACAAAAGAACAATATTATATGCTTATGAAAAATAATGTTAAATCACATATAAAGATCAAGTGAGTTTTGCAATAATCAAACATCTTATGTATCACAGGTATCTAGTCTATTTCCTCTTGACAGCCACTTAACTTCAGATCACAAGATTTTTATTTCCTTGCCAGACCACGAGATTACATATGACATGACTAACAACTTAGCATTTGTTTCACATAATCATACATGAACTTTGTATATCCACACATCACCACTAGGAGAACCTCGTGTTGATGTGTTAACATAAAAATGACTCTTTATATTCACTAGGAAGTAGGTGAGCTAAGATTTAAGGCAAATAGAAATATTGTTGAGCTAAATGAAAGAAGAAACAAATACATAAACAATGAACAAAATCATAACTAAAAATAGAAATCACTATGTCATACAGTTTAGTCCAGCTCAGTGGGATCAACACCTGAAAAACATGTAACCCCATTTAATTGTGACAAGGTCCCAGACATTAAAATATTACAAGGGACTCCTGCATATTAATAGTAAGCATAATGTATTATTTGGAAGAATCTTTAATACCTAGGCTGTGTTCAGCAGAAGCCAGAATAAAAATTTCGAAATGTTATTTGATGAAAGAACCATCACATACACCTTGGATGAATGTAAAGACTTTTAAGCTATTATATGATGAGAATACTGCATGTTCACCAATTCTTTGTTGACCAGTAAATCAGTACATTCTGAATATAATGTCATTTTATCAAGATACTATGAATGACCTAGTAATAAGTTAGTATATATATGTGTGTGTGTGTGAGAGATGAAAATTTTTATTTTTATTTTCTTCTCTTGTTTTCTTTTTGTGAACAGAAGAGAAACTTTACAATAGCTTTCAAAGCAGCAGAGGCTGTGGGAATCCCAACTACCTTAGTAAGTAACTATGTCAAATATAACTTAATTATTAATGATATCATAACTTCTTTCATTTAAGAAAAAACAAAAACTGGTTTAATGTAGCTAATTTTGAATACTTGTTTTTAACTACAGTATTTAAGACTTCAATGAAACTTCAGTTTAGGTACCTGTAAGACACAAAAACCTAATAGAACAATATTTATATTTATTCTTCATTATTAAATAATGTTAATTTGATAGTCTACATTCTACTTAGTCTGCAGCTAATTCAGTTAAGTTTGTGAAAGCATAAGTAGAAGTCAAACTATAACCTTCCCATTTCTGACAGTTAGATTTAGAGTATTGGGATGGTTATGTACCTGTAAGTTTGTATTTCTCTCTCTCTTTTAGTTGCTCCATTCTATACTCACCTTTTATGTTTTTCTTTGAAAATCGTAAATTAATCTTTTTGTCATTATTTTTTTTCGGATTAGTTATGGTATGTTTTCCCTTTCCTAAAAATAATTTTTTGATCACCATGTAATCAAGCTCACTGAGCTCTGGAACCAACAGTTGTTTAGATTATTCCTTCCTATATTATGATGTAGTTCCTCTATATTTTATCCATGCTTAATAAAGATAGTGTAAATTTCTAAAAGTTTTCGGATATGATGGGCTCAGATGTGAACAGAAGTACATGACCATAATTCCCATAAACTTTTAATTTGCCAAAATTGAATAGTTGTAATTATTACAAGTGTAACAGTTAATTTGCCAACATTGTAGATCTGTTGAATAGTTGTAATTATTATAAGTGTAACAGTTAATTTGGCAACATTGTAGATCTGTTGAATAA